CTTTAATATGGAAGTAAAGGGCTCTAAGAGGCTGTCCAGCCTGACCTAGTAGGTTTCACACTTAATGTCCAAATCTCACTTTACGTCCTGCTTTAGTACGCTCCGTGCAGGTGCGTGGAAGCAGTGAAGAGTTCAAATATTGGTAAGGAGCATGGGCGGGCAAGTGGGCCCTCCAGAGCACCATACCAGAATAGTACCCGGTGCTCCTGGCAGTCACTGGTATGCCCATACCAGGGCATAACCCACCACTGTCAAGCATGCAGTTCCAAAAATCAAGGAAAGTAAATTTCTGGACTAATACATCAGCAGAGAAGAAACTCAGAAACCAGGTCTAGTCCTCTAAGTGTCTTTCTAGTGTTAGGATTTTTTAAAGTTTTAATTTGCCAATTGTTGTCTTCAATTGATATGGTTGAAATGTCTTTATGATTCTGAAGACATGTTTTATACGATAACAGAACAAGGGTAAAGTAAAATGATACTATAAATTAAGTCCCTGGCTACTAAAATTCAAAGGGTTGTTGTTATTCCTACTATTCCTGAACTGAGATAATACTTGATAGCTTATTTCCAAGGGGGGAAAACAGTGTTTTCTTTCCATCAAACCAGTTGGTTCTTCTTTAGATTTTTTTACGGATGAGGGAAGAGGGGAAAGGATGCAGGGGTGGGATTCTACCAGTTTGGACTGATTCAGGTAGCTCTGATGACCAGCTGAGAGTGAACTGGTTCTCACTGAAGATCAGATGGGCCCACCTGCCTGCCCCTGCTCTATTCCGTCCTATATTTGAAGCAGGGGTGGACTTCAAAAATGGAAGTAAGAGGGTCTCTGACCAGTTGCTGGGTGGGCATGGCGATGGTGGGCGTGGCCTAATCAGCATCCTGCACCATGCTATGGAGGAGGGGTTTGTCCTCCACGGACTCTGGAGGCTTTGCCTGACCCTCTGGGAGGGTGTAAATGGCCGCCCAAACTCTACAAGGCCATTTCTGGCCTTATCGAACTTCTGGTAGACTGTTATTCACCCTCCCTGAACCTCCCCAAGCACCCTGCAATTACCTGCATCCAAAACAGGCTGCGTGGGGACTCCTGGGAGGGCAGGGTGGGGCCAGCCAGGAGTGGAATTTGGGGGTTCTCCAAACTGTACAGAATCTTAGCTAGAGGTTCTCCCGAACCTCTAGCATACCCTCAGGAGCCCACCTCTGGTTTGAAACCCAGCTGATCAATGCAGCAGAGTGAATTGCTGCGTCTCAGCTGTTTTACTCACTGCGGCTGCAGAAAAGGTAAGATTTAATGCTAATTTCAAATCCAATTTGCATGCATGCAGCACATGTTTGATGCATGCATGCACAAAGTGAAACAGTTGTTACATGGGTTGAATCCCAGCAATGGAGGGGCGGGATGGGGATGGGAGGGGAGGGGAGGAGAGGAGAGGAGAGGATAAGCAGCAAAAGGAGAATCCTATAGATCCGGGTTGGTGAACCTATGGCACGTGTGCCACAGGTGGCACGCACAGCCATTTGTCAG